TTACTCATTTGAAATATGTCGCTTCTTCCTGCCTCTTGATCAATGATGTCCTCTGGGCTAGAAACCCTCTGATTGATGTCCTAAGCTGTTTCAGTGTAAACATTTCATGTTTCACTGAATTGTGCATCTGTTGCATGCTTGTGCCAAACCTTTATAGATGTTTTGGAAAGCTGTTTAGATCATTTTTATTCACTTATTCAAATAAAGAAATAAATACTAATTACTGGTCGACCGATATATCGGCCGATACTTGGCATTTTTCAAATATCGGCATCGGCCGATAAGTTTTTCTGTTTGGCCGATACGTTCGAGGCAGGACTTATATTTTGACAACGCTGAGAGCGGCAGCGCCTGAACACACAGTGCTCACATTCTCCCTCTTGTTCGCTGTTGTCGCTAACAGTTCTGTCTAATACGGATAGAAGTCTTTCTAACAATCCGATAGAACTGTTAAACAAAAGAATTAAAATGTATACAAAAAGTATTATAACGATTGCTTTTATATTATTAGTAATAGAAAGGCAAACATTATAATACTTGTTTGCCGTCAGCATTCAGCAAAAGACACAAATATATCATTTAAAACAAATCTTTGAATGGCTAATGAAAATTTTATTTCACAAACCTTGCAAACTTAGTCGGATCCAGTTGTGAGATCTTGTGAAGTGTGCATGTGACCTGCATGATCGCGTGTTCTCTGTGTGTTCTCTGCGTGACTTTCGGTCCGTGCAAATTGAATGCTTTAAACATTAAATTCGTGATTTCAAATTATGCTGCGCTTTATGCCCTCTGTCATATTCATGTCATTTTCACTGTGTGGTGTATGTGAAATGAGTGTTACCTTGGCTTTATTTGAAAAAATATGATTCCCAATGCACACAAACTTCCCAGATTACTGAGTGCCCTGTTGGTTACTGTTTACTTCCTTTTTAATTATATTTTTATTAAATATTTATTTATTTGTGGAAAATACTTTGTCATCTAAAGTATATGTTTATTTTACAAATGTATTTTTGAATCCTTTTTCAAATGATTTCAAATTTCTTAAATATTAATTAAAATGAATACAATGATATCGGCTTTATATCGGCCATCGGCCACCCTGCTTTCCAAGATATTGGCATCGGCTGTCAAAAAAACAAAATCGGTCGACCACTAGTGTAGTTCTTTGCCAGGGTTTTGCCTAATAAAACTGATTTTATTTGTAAAAGTGGAAATCACATTAAAAATAAGAATTCTGTCATCTACTCAGATTTCATGTCATTCCAAAACTTTCTTTCATCTGAAAAACACAGAAGATATTTTGAAGAATGTTGGTAGCCAAACAAAATTTCTATTGCACAGGCAAAAAACACTTAAGGGCTTGAAAACGAAAAAAAAAAAAAATCACTCCGAGCAGAATCGATATTTTAACGTTTCTGTTCCTGCGTTCCTCTGTATTATTATCGTTCCGAAACCGGTTTGCCTAGAAAAAATAACAGTTAATAACGTTATTTTAAAAACTTTTTCTTTGCCTATAATAATAATAACAATAATAATAGCCTAATAATAATAAAGTACAGCGTTTTCTACACAAAAAAAAAAACAAAAAAAAAAACAGGAAGAGATCTGGTATCTTAACCCGCTGTGCTTAGTCACAGCCAATACAGCATCATCTTTTCTAGATTTTGGCCAAATTATAGGCTACTAAACAAAAGAAAAAAATCTGTTAGCGCTTTAAAGGCATTAAAGTATTTTTTTAAAGATATTTAAAAATGTTTGCTGCATTGTTAAAAAAATGCTACTCGTATACAATTGCATTTTGAGAGAGAAACAAAAGCATGAGTTGCATAGGCTCACGTCGCATTTTATTACTAGGCTACATTCAGAAATAATGTGCTAAAATGCCGGTAAAGCAAAATGTTTACAAACATTATAAACACAATATATATATATATATATATATATATATGTATGTATATATACGTATACATAGGCTATCTATGATAAACACAGTTATTAGTTTCCTTCTCTCCACAACAAATCAAAGTTAAGGCAATGCGTTCAGGCTATAAAAAAAGTCAATCCAAAAACAAATTAATCTAAGATGAAACTGATGCCTACCTCTCTCATTCGGCACGAATCCAAATGTTTCCATATTCGCGACGTATCTGGATGCTAAAATAGCCTATTTATTATGTAATAGGCTTTGTACTTCACTCGCGTCGGCATCATCCTTCACATCGGCTATATCAGCACAGTGAGGCACTGGTCACGCTGAACGCAACCGATTGTACAACGGAGCAGTGCAACTTTTTATGTTTCTTTAACTATATTTTATTTTGATAATGAACAGGCTGCAATGTCGCCAAATATGTTTTGTCTGTGTACGCGTGAGGCGCCGGCTCGATGGTCATACCAACGCTGGTTGGTTGCACAGATAGAAGCAAAACATCATTCAAAACTGTCAAGATTAGCAAAATAAATAAAACTGTAAAATAAATAAAACCTGTAAATCTTTTGCAAAATAAAGAAAACTTTCTGCTGTCTCGTTTTCCTTTCCGTGAACTTTGGATCGCGTCACAATGAACCGAAACTCACATTTTATTCTTTCGTTTTGTTAATCTGTCAATGATTTAAGTGCAATAGCCTACATTTCGTGTATAGGCCAATAGAGGCTATTCGTTTTATGTAAGCCTATAGTTTTATTCTGTTTTCTCCGTTCACAGAAGCGCAGCAGGTGCGTGTGATCTGTTGAATCCTTCTTACACTATCCTCGGATAAACTCTAAAGCCGGTGCATTGCCATTGCGACTTACATATGAGTTCACAGCTGAGCGGGCATTTTACTCGTTGGATGCGTCAGCGTCACATTTGCAGGCCGTACTACTGGAATTTCTAAATTGGTTGACTGCAAATTTCAAATATTAAATGGAACGATAAAATAACGTTATTAATGGCCATTTCAAATTTTCGATTCTGTTTGGAACTATAAAATTTGATTTCGTTTCTGGTTCTGTTCCTGTCAAAATTTCGTTCGTTTCCAGTTTTCGTTTTGGTTCCTTGAACCGGTTCAGAGCTCTGCTTAAGACGTTTCTCAAATAAACTTATTTTATGTTCCACTGAAGAAAAAGACAGGGTTGAAACAACATGAGGACAAGTGAATTATTATAGAATTATTTTTGGGTGAACTATTCCTTTAAATTGTGGCTTCTACAGAACCATATAGCAGTTGCGATCTAACGATCTTGGAAATAAAGGTAGAGCTGTAACAAAAAAAAAAAAAAGAAGTGCACTTGGTAAGGAAATCAGTTTACTGAAGGAGAAATTGAATTGGATTGTTACATTCCTACAGTAATTGTGAGGTGTTTTAGGGCTCATGTTTTCTTTTCTTTTGTAGGTCTCTCCTAAAGATGAACCTAAAGCCCCAACAGGTAAGCCATTTTTATAGTGTTATAATAATGAATGTCGATTGTAAGATGATGAACTTCCTGTTGTATCAAGTGCTAATTTCTCTGTCTCCGTCTCTGAAACAGAGCAAGTTGGGTCTAAGATACCCCGCCTGGAGAGTCCTATGCCCCCTCTCCCTGTGTCCCAACCCCCAGGTGAGGATTTCTGTGTTTTGACATAGGCAGCAAAATAAATCTTTGGTAAAAGTACATCGCTCATCATATACAAAAAAAAAATAATCGAATTTTATTGTTTACATAACCTTTATGGGTTTTTCTATTGGGGTTATTGGAAAAATGTGAAATTATCTTGGCATTTCACAATATATGACTGTGCTTCCTGCTGCTTCAGACTAATTGCTTTTAGTAATAAACACATACACTGACTACTGTTTTTATATATATATATATATATATATATAAATAATACTTATATTTTTAATAGAAATCGATACTTTATTTTCAGCAAGAACTATTTAAATTGATCAAAAGTGTCAGTATAGACATTTATAATGTTACAGTGATTTCTTTCTATTCGTCACAGAATCCTGAAAAATTATCATGGTGTCCACAAAAGAAAAAAAAAAGCAGCACAACTGTTTTCAACATTATTCATTAAAAAATATATATTTCTTGAGCACTAAATTAGCATATTAGAATTATTTCTCTAGGATCATGTGACACTCAAGACTGGAGCAATGATCCATTACTGAAATAAATGATGAAATTATAAAAAAAAATAAGTTATTTTAAAATGGAATCAAATTTCACAATATTGTATTGTAATTCACTATTTTCGAACAAATAAATGCAGCCCAGAGAATTGTTATTTTCAAAAACCCTAAAATCTTACCGACCTCAAACTTTTGAACGGTAGTGTATATACACATAATGATGTTTGTCAATGAAAACTATTATAAAGTGATTATACTAAATGTATATAATTGATACTATAGTAACACGTCTATGACTTCTGTCCACACATAGATCGCAAGGCTCCGTCTGTCATCCCAGCTCCTCCCGCTGAAGCAGAACCGGCTACCTCAGCTGACATGGATCCAGCACAGGGCCCGGCTCCTCCTCTGCCCCACGGGGCCCCGCCCCCTCTAAATCAGGCCCTACACGATACATGTGCCTGTATACAATATACACAGTCTGTATCGGGTTTATGTGTATTCTGAGACATTTCAGCTGCCAGTGTCTGGGAGTCCATGAAATACCGCAGACTTCTGCTTGGGTTCAGGGTTTCACGGTTAGACTTTAAATCCACTGATGCGATTTGAAGGGATAGTTCACCCCAAAATGAAAAACTGATGTATTTACTCTCCCTCATGTTGTTCTAAACCTGTATGCAAAATGGATATTTATCCATACAATGCTTCACGTTGACCATGGTTGGTCAATCTACAAAGAGGACAATCTAAAAAATGGACCATACAACTTGTGATCTATGACTTGGTCCATATGATGTTTTTGAAGTCATATAATAGAGCTGTTTTCAGCTTTTTTCAAAATTGTTATGTGGTTTCAGAGCTCAAGTAGTAAGGATTACTTCATATTGTATGTTCTGGTTAATATGAATGGTTTTTACATGAAAAGATCTGAAAAGATGTGAAAATTAAAAAAAAAGAAAAAAAAATCATACAGGTTTAGAATGGCATGAGGGTGGATAAATAAAGACAAGAGATTTTCTGTTTGGGGGAAACTATCCCTTTAAATTCTTACATTCCAAACCCATTTCTGTGAATGAATTATGAATTTTTGGTTGTACATATGATTTATTCTGTATTATCTTTAGAGAACCTTTTTTTTTCACTGTTATGTATTCACTCTCCTTTGGCTTTGCTTTTTTAGTTGGTGTGTTGCAGAATCTTGGGGAAAATATCCCACAAATCATCCTTAGCAGTCCTTTGATTCAGATGCGTTTCTGGCATCTTTGACTGACCTGAGATCAAGTGCATTGATTGATAGGCATGTTCGGTCTGTAGTTTCCCGTATGTGCCTTAGTTTGGTTAGTATTTAATCGGCAAAGGACTTGCTATGCTCAACCACCTTGTATTTTCCTGTTGATTTTTTTTAGGCAGATAATAAAAGTCTTTTTCCCCTTGTGCATTTACTTGGTTGTGTCTTGTTTTAAATTGCGTCACTGTCAGGCTATGAATTACCCGAGAAAATAAATGTTTTTAATTAAAAAACATTAAATGTACACATTGTGTTACACAAGGTTTAAAAATATGATATTACAAACCTTGCCTGTGCAGTTTCAAAATGATACAAACAAGCTCCTGGCTGGAAAGAGTAAATAAAGTTTCGCAAGATATATCCCAGTATACATTTCTAAAATGAACACTTTATTAAAACTTGAATTACATTAATAAACAACATTATATTGTGTAATGCTAATGCATTAGTTAAAATGTATTAGTGTTTTAAGTTTTACACTCTAAAAAATGCTGGGTTAAATACAACCCAGTGCTGGGTAAAATAGGGACCCAGCAATTGGGCTGTTTTGACCCAGCGGTTTGATTAAATGTTTAACCCAACCTTCTGGGTAGTAACCCAACTGCTGGGTCAAAACAACCCAATTGCTGGGTTTGTCCCTATTTTACCCAGCATTTTTTAGAGTGTATGTTTGCATTATCAGTAAATTGCCAAACTTTCTATTTGCTTAGCTTAAAATATATAACGTAGCTTTTCAGAAAACACGCTATGTCTTTTCCATATCTAATTTTTTATGCCTCATTGTGCATACAGTATGTTGCTGATTCGGTTTTAATTTTGTGAGGTTGTCGATGAGATGAAATGAGTGTAAAAAGGAGTAATTCCCTTCATTACCATTAGGGGGCACACATTTCTCACATTTATTTTATTATTTTGCATTTTGCACAGCTGCTTTGACACAATCTGTATTGTAAAAATAAAAAAAACTCTATATAAATAATGGTGACTTGACATGTTTACTGGAATTGGGCTTTACGTAGGCCATCAAGTTGGGACCCACACTAATATAGCTCCAAAATTGCTCTCTGCAGCCAATAAATCACCACACAGTTGTGTTAAACACAAACCATGTTTACCTATTGCCATTAAACCGGTATTTAACATGTTTAGTTCATGGGTTTTGAGATGTTAACATTGCCCAATTTAGCAAGTGACATGAATTTGCACCTAAATCACATAAACGAAACATAAGAATGGTTAGTTGCATTTAGCACTGTTCTTCCCCCTGCTGTTGGCAACCCTATCAGATCAGCCCTGTGACCTATTTTCAGGGTCACAACCCATCATTTGAGAACAACTGAACAAAATATCCCAAAGTACAGGTTTAGCAAAGTTGAACTTTAAATTATTGCACTAGGTTCTATACATCTGTTACTATACAATAAAGTCTATAATGTCCTCTATCATAGAAATGCTGGTCTTTCACATTAGTGAAAAGCTAACAGATAGTTTATTATACATTTTATTCATATGAAGGATGTACGTTTCAAAACTGAATTAAATCAACACTGAACTTAAACTGTAAAGCTGCTTTAAAACAATCTGTATAAAGTGCTATATAAATAAATGTGACGACATAAAGCAATAGTTTGTTTATTGACAAAATTGTCTGGTTCACTTTGTACACCTTTTTTTCTTTACATCTTTACCATAAAATGTCTCCTGCAGTCATGCTCGCAGCTATTAACACTGAAGACAGGATAAGCCTCAGAGGTTTTACACAATAAAACAACACAGGGAGTAGGTGCATAGGTTCCAAATAAAACCCCATGCACAAAAGAGGCAAATAATATCATCCCAAAAAAATCATGGCTTTGTGTTCAGACCGCTTCTCAAGAGAAACGGCACTTTATCTGTATAGGATCTGCTTGCAACTCCTTTCATTAACAACAATAGCAACTTCTCATGTTTGTAACAGGTGGGTCAAAACTCATTGCCAGCCAATCAAATGCACTCTTACTAATAGAGAAAACATCTCTGGTTAATTCATGTTAAAACTCTTTCTTTAGCTTTTACCCATTTACAATTACATCTTTTGGCTATGTTCGGAATAGCATACTAACATCTTATCAAAATGCAGCATACAACATATATATCCCACAATGCAGTGTGCTCGACCTTCCATTGCCAGTATGAAGATCGAATTGAATTAGTTGCAATTTATTTGAATATGGAATATTTCTAGACTTTTTAATGTCAATGCTACTGTTTACGGTTGTAAAATGTGTACTGTTTTATATACTATTACTTTTTTTTATATAGTATTTAGCATATATTGCACAATAATATGCTAGGTTTGCATTCTGAACACAGCCGTAGTATTTCATTTATAGTCATGCCTGTTTTTGAACTCTGGTTTATTTGACATCGAAAAGAATATCAGGAAAAGAGACTCACATACATTAAACTATTGCTGACATGCATTTAAATGAGCTGAACATCACTTGCTATATCCAGACCTTGATCACTATTTAAGATAACAATAGTTCTCTGCTGAATAGCAGGCCAGACTTTTGAGGGAAAATGTGAGGAATTTAAACATAAAATGTGTTAAATGGTGCTGAAAGTGATAACTGAAAGAATGATCAAATTAGCCAAAATATATAATAAATGAACAAGCATGGGGTGGTAAATATGCATAACTTCTAATGGATTCCATGAGGGCTTGTGATCATTTTTCATCCAAAACAAACAACAATAATAATAACTGACAGTGACAGAGAATCCCCCTGCAACAACTACTTAAAAATGAAACCGCTTGATGGGCGCAGTTTTCCTTCATGGACTGAAATATTAAGTTGGGGCAGGACATATTGATGGACTTGTCCACTTTTTGAGACACAAAGCTGCTTTAATTTAAACTTTGACCCCATTGCCATCATCTGTCATGCATTCATGTGGAGGTCAATGTGGAGCATTGCATGTTTTTTTTTTTTTTTACTTCAATCATGAGAAAGGGCCTTCAGGAGTTTTAGGGGCCGTTTACGCGACAACATTTTCATCCAAAAACGGGAAACTTTTTATGCGTTTTGCCTGTTTGTTACACGACAACGGCGTTTTGGGGACTGAAAACGCAAGTTTTTGAAAACGGCACCGTTATCGTTTCTGTGTAAACACCCAATTACGGGAATCTTTGAAAACGGTGACGTCATGCGCGTGCGCAGTATGTGTTAGGTATGTAGACATGCGCAGTACGTGTCGATTTTAAAGGCAAGCGCGAACAAACATACACAACAATGGCGGAATTTTCGCGGATATGTGTAAATGCAAATCGTTTTGAAAATGTTGTTGTGTATACGTGAAACTTTTTAAAAACGCAAGGGAAAAACGTTTCCGTTTTTGACTACATCGTTGTCATGTAAATGTAGCCTTAGATTTGTAGGTAAACTCCAAGGGTTGAAACAGATAGCCTAGACTTTTAAAACATTAGGTTAGCACAATTATTTCTGCCAATGCATCAGTCTTGACTGTTAATGGGTCAATCAAGGACTTAAAAAGGCTGGAAAAGGACAAAACTACTGTTTCAGACATGATGTATACTTGCCATTTCCCTAGACCTGAGAGACGTGATTGTCTAGCATGCACACCGTTTTAAAATTTGACATCTTAAATATACAAAAACAATGAATTTCAGTTGTGACCACCATTTTTTTCCATACAGGAAGAGGGAAAAATCTGATTCAGCATGTTTTGTGCTGCTTTTGTGTCTTGAGTTGCATTGTTCAAAAAGTGTTGCGCTGTTAAAAAACCCCATACGCTGTTAAGTTGGAACTTATTAAAAACAGCTACTAGAAAAAGTAAAAACACTTAAAAAGACAACATAAAGTGATTTAAAGCTTTTGTACATATCTTACATTGTCTTTCAGAGTAATTTCTGTACATTACTTGCACAGGAAGGGTACCAGAACACAGTGGAGTGAGTAAGCCTTATCTGGTATCGCTCTGAAAGGAGTAAACCACAGTTTGATGAACATAACTTTGTCTAAAAGGGTGTAAGGAAACAATAATGAGTTTTCTGACACCACTGTTATGTAAAAACAATAATATGAGGCAAGCTGACTGAACATGACTAGCTGCCAGTCGTAAACACTTCATGGGTCTAGTCGCAAACGACACTGTCCTTTTAGTGTTTCTTTTTCTATTAATGGACCCAACTTTGTCTAAAAGGGTGTAAGGAAACAATAATGAGTTTTCTGACACCACTGTTATGTAAAAACAATAATATGAGGCAAGCTGACTGAACATGACTAGCTGCCAGTCGTAAACACTTCATGGGTCTAGTCGCAAACGACACTGTCCTTTTAGTGTTTCTTTTTCTAAATCTACATTCGGTCAAATTGACCATTGGGTAATTGTCAATTGAGTAGTCCAGAATTGGTAAATTCATATGAGATCCATTTCATCAATAAAGAAAAAATATAATGAATAGTCAAAAAAATGTCATTTCAATGCGGATTATTGCTTTACATGTTCACTGATTCACTGAAAATTGGAGTGTAGCGGTCCAATGGCAATAGTTGGATTCCAAATTATTTGACATGGATGATGGTAGTGGACAGAAGCGTTTGTGTGTGCAGTTTCTCAGTTTGGTCCTGCTGGAGTTTCATGGTGGCTGAACAGAAGGAGAGATGTTCCTCATGTGTTAGAGCTGCTATAGAGGACCTTTGAACTGATTCCCAGAGAGCTGCTGTCGGATGGATGGCTTTGATCCAGCTGCGTCACCGAGCTTTCGCCACACCACCTGAACACAAAGGGACGAAGTCAAAAAAACAGCTGTGCCACTTTTACATGCTGTATGTCAGTGCAAAACCTGCATCTTATAAGCTGTTGGCATTTTCAGTGCTCTCCTTTCTTATTTAGAACCTATACTTAAGAATGAACCAATTCATTTAGTATGTTCTGTAATATTTGCTTTCTGTGTTCAGGTTTGAATGTAGTA